TAAGATTAAGCAAAAAATTATAACGAGTCGTCTATAAAGCGAGTTCCAGGTCAGCTAGGGCTACACAATGAAACTCTGTCTCAAAAAACAAAGAAAGGGGCTGGAGAAATGGCTCAGAGGTTAAGAGCACTGACTACTCTTCCAGAGGTCCTGAGTTCAATTCCCAGCAACCGCATGGTGGCTCACAACCATCCGTAATGAGATCTGTTGCCCTCTCCTGGTGTGCAAAAAAAAAAAAAAAGAAAAAAAAAAAGAAAAAAAATTAACTAGGTACAAATATTTTCAATTATGAAATGCTATGTCCTAACTAAGAACAAAAACTAAGTACAAAAAAAAGTGACTGTGAAGTGCTATGTCCTAAATGCAGCATCTCTATAACACCCTACCCCAATACTCAGCAAACATCAAGGAAGAACGACCAGAAAGACTAAGCCAGAGGTTGAGAAGAATGTGGTAAAACAGTGTCTTTTAGACATGCATGACCATTGCATTCATGAACTCACAGCTGCTGCAGCAGACTGCATAAGACCTGTACAAGATCAAGCCAGTCAACATTCCAGCATGAAGAGGAAAGGGTCTCATGAGTCCCCACCACTAGCTAGGGAGCTACAGATAGTTGACGGCTGCTCAGGTAAGAAGAGTCAGTTTTTGCTAGGCCTGTGACACACTGTCAGTTGCCCCTGCTCCGGTGGATGGTTCTACACACAAGCATAGAGGCATAGCTAACCAGACTTTGTTGGTTAATTAAAAAGAGGAGGCCGGGCATTGGTGGCACACCCCTTTAACTCTAGCACTCGGGAGGAAGAGGCAGGCGGATCTCTGTGAGTTCGAGGCCAGCCTGGTCTACAGAGCAAGTTCCAGGTCAGTCTCCAAAACAATACAGAGAAACCCTGTCTCGAAAACCAAAACCAAAACCAAACAAACATGAAAAAGAGAACATGAAGTTGGGAGGATGATATGGGAAGAAGCCTAGAGGAAGTTGTATATGTGTGTATGATATATGCACAATATGTGCGTGTATGTCAAGGTGCTAGACATGAGTACATAAATATAAGTGTGTGAACAACATGAGGTCAATAACAGGTATATTCCTGGCTCTATTTTTTTTTCTTTTTTGGTTTTTTGAGACAGGGTTTCTCTGTGTAACAGCTCTGATTGTCCTGGAACTTGATTTGTAGACCAGGCTGGCCTCAAACTCACAGAGATCTGCCTGCCTTTGCCCTTCTGAGTGCTGGGATTAAAGGCGTGGTCACCACCACCTATCAGCAATGAACTTTTAAAAGCAAAACTTCAAAAATATGTCTATATACCAGTATTACTATAATTCTCAGAATTAACTGTACAGTCATGCTCCTGACATCATCATTCCCAACAATGAAATGATAGAAATAGCTCTAATGTTCATTGAAAGATAAAAAGATTTCTTTTAAAATGTGGATAAACAGTATTGCCTTTAATCTCAGCACTGGGGAAGCAGAGGCAGGTGATCTCCGCGTTCAAATCCCAGAGTGGTCTATAAATTCCAGGAAAACCCAGGCTATGCAGAAACCCTGTCTTGAAAAAAAAAATATGGACTAGGCATTGGTGGTGCACGCCTTTAACCCAGCACTCGGGAGGCAGAGGCAGGCGGATCTCTGTGAGTTAGAGACCAGCCTGGTAAATAAGCGAGTTCCAGGACAGAGTCCAAAACAATACAGGGAAACCCTGTCTCAAAAAACCAAAAAAAAAAAAAAAATGGATATACATTCAAGATATATGATTCAACCTGAAAAAGGAATGATATATAATAACCAATACATGGATGAACCTTAGAAAAAAAAAGAACCAGACACAAAAGAAGTACATAGGGCTAGAGAGACGGCTCAGTGGTTAAGGCACTTGTTCCTGTAGATGATCAGGCTTTGGTTTCCAGCACCCACATGGTTGTTCATAACCGTCCCTAACTCCAGTTCCAGGGGACCTGACACACTCTTCTGATCTCTGTGAGCACCAGGCATACATATGGTCCACATACATGCACGCAACTAAAACACTCATACACATAAAATAAACAAATCTAAAGTATACAATTCCCCTTAGAGGAAAGAACTTATCATAAGCAAGCTCACAGAAACAGAAGATGGAACAAGGGTTGCTAGGATTGGAAGACAGGGAAATGAGGGATTGTTTAATGGGGGCAGTTGTCTGTGTTAAATAATTAAAAAGTTCTGGAAATGGATGATAATTACAACTATACAACACTGTGAGTATATTTAATATCCCTGACTACTACATTTAATCATTAAAATCATAATTTTATGTTATTTATTACTTTCTACAAATTAAAAAACAGAAAAGAAATAATTGGAAAAGTGTAATAAATGGAATGGGGAAGGTGGATGAGATGAGAGCCCTGTCTTACTGAAATTTGTCATCTCAGATCCAACTCTATGACAGACCGCTTCCCCTCACTCATGCTGTCTCCTACTACCTCCCTCTGTCAATAGAACAGGGAGACTATGAAGTCAGTGGGCACATCAGCAGGAAAACAAGTTTGCACACAAGCTCGGCCCCTAATTGGCTAGTGACCTGTGCCTTAGCTGAGAAAAAATATGCCTTAAATTCACCCATAAAAGAGTTAACACTATCATCCCATCTGTTCATTATGGGACTTCAGAAGCTAACACTGGGGCCCCTAGCAGTGCCCAACAGAACAAGCAATCATAAAACTCAATAAATATTACCTACAAATATCATTTTAGGTGGCAAAAGTCACCTGATCATGGTTTTTTAGCAAACTCAAGATGGTAGTAAGTTGGGGCTGGAGAGATGGCTCAGAGGTTAAGAGCACTGGCTGCTCTTCCAGGGATCCTGAGTTCAATTCCCAGCAGCCAACACAGTGGCGCTCAACCATCTGTAATGAGATCTGATGCCCTCTTCAGGCCTGCAAGCACACATGCAGACAGAATACTGTATACTTATATCTTTAAAAAAAAAAAGGGGGGGCCGGGCGTTGGTGGCGCACGCCTATAATCCCAGCACTTGGGAGGCAGAGGCAGGTGGATCTCTGTGTGTTCGAGGCCAGCCTGGTCTACAAGAGCTAGTTCCAGGACAGCCTCCAAAGCCACAGAGAAACCCTGTCTCAAAAAACCAAAAAAAAAAAAAAAAAAAAAGGTAGTAAGTTACAGGGGGCAGGAGCTCATGTGGCAAAGTCTGAATGGCATGGTTTGAAGGCCTGATCCTCCATGTACAAGCTGAAAACCTGTTCAATGGGAGATAACAAAAACACACACACAGTGCTTTCACAGCCAACAAATGGATACCTACAGTCAGAGTAAGCCAACAGCACAGGATCCTAAGAGTCTTCTGGGCTCTCAGAGACACATTCATCTGAAGTGATCCTGAATTCATGTGGATACCCTAAAGTTTACCACCCACGATAACAAATACATATGTAGAGCAGGCATGGTTCCTTTCACAACTGGACAGTTAAGCAGCTTATATATGATGTCAGGCAAATCAGTTTTTAATGGCTCTGTGTTCTAGGCACCAATGAAGAATAAAGTTGTTGATCCACCTCAGGCCAGTAATCTAAATTTGTGGTTCCCAAGTTTGTGACACTAAATTGGCACATGGAAACCTTTGGAGAGATACTTTTTCTCTTTCTTTTTTCTTTCGCCACAGTAGCAAAAGAGAGAGTATTCAACGACAAATGAGTTCCAAGTAAGCCAGCTCTTCCATTTCAACTCATGATCAAAAGAATGAGTGAGAGCAGGAGCAGTGGCACACACATCTGCCATCCCACGTATTAAGGAAACTGAGCTCCAAAACAATACAGAGAAACCCTGTCTCGAAAAACCAAAAAAAAAAAAAAAAAAAAGGAAACTGAGGCAGGAGGGCGAAACTTTGTGGTCAGCCTGGGCAATGAAGCCGGAATCAAAATAAAAAGCCACAGGTGTTGTTCAGTGGTAGACCAATGCCCTAGGCCCACACCCTCAAATAATGAAACAAGTGTAGAAACAATGTTTATACTTGTATATACTGTTGGGTTTGTTTTTTTTTAAGACCGTGTGCCAAGCATAAACACTGCAAATATATATATGTATATATATATAAAACACTTTAGATCTGAAACACATTAACACAGACATAAAAAGATACAATCCATTAAGCATCATTCAGGACACACTTAGAATGCATTCAGCACTAACTAGACACACTTGATCCTGACTCTGTAATAAAAGCTTCACTCTCCAGCACAACAACCTGAGATGGCAACACACTGCATAAGCGAACTCTACAAATGCACACAAAAATAACATCATTAAAGGATGTTCCCATGTTGACTTCACAAAAATTACTGAAAGATGACCGGAGAGCATTTAATCACCAGCTCTGTCACCATAAGAGACGAAGTGAATGAGGAGAATAGGGAAGACTCCTGCCAGAGCCGCCAGCGCCCCCAGCTCCCCCGCCAGGGGCTCATTGCCCTCTGCATCGCCTCCATCTGCACAACTTTCTGCGATGCAGTGTGGACCCAAGGCTCCCTGCGGCTAGCGCTATCGCGTTATAACCGTGATGCAACAAACCCACCTGGAAGTAAACACTAGCAACATAAGCGAGCAAAGTTTATGTTTAAGCAATACAGAAAACCAGAAACCGAACACGCCCAGCAGAGTCTACATGTTGCCTCGCTATCGAATCTTAGGAAAGGGGCAGGACTGAGTCACAGGGTCTAGCCCGCACTCTGAAAACCCCGGACAACCCTCAAAGCAGGCTCCAGGGACCCAGCGCGACCCAGGCAGCTCGGCCCGGGCGGGGGCGCGGTCGGGAAGGGGACGCGCGATCGTCCGGGCCCCCGAGCCGGACTGCGGTCTCCGGAGCCGCCCTCGGGCTGCTGGACAGCGCCCACGCCCGCGCGTCCCTGCCCGGGCTCGCCCCCATCCCGGAACTCCCGGGCACGAGCGGCGCGAGGCCGGAGCCGGGGCCCTGCGGCGTCGTGGAGACGCGCGCTGAAGTACCTGTGGCGGCGAGGCAGCTCCCGGACAGCGGCGGCAGAGCGGCGGAGCGCGGCCTGCGCGCTCCTGGCCCGCGGTTCGGTGTCTGGAGCCCGCCGTCTCCCTCCCGGTCGCCCGGCGCCCGCGCAGCTCCCCGCCCCTTCACCTCTCAACTCCTACCTTTCCCCTCCCGCTCCGCCGCCCTCCACACGTGCTCCCAGCGGCGTGCGCATGCGCAATCTCGCTGTGCCAGCCGCTCGGGGTCGCCCCCTGGCGGGCCTGTGCCACACAACCGCGGGAGGAAGAACTGGAACCGCCCGGGGCCTGAAAATGGAAAAGGATGGCAAGCATCCCTTAGGAATTTTGACAGCACGTTCCCGGAAAGTCACCTAGAACACGCACGAGATGCTCACATTCTATGCTTTATAATACCAGAGGATTAGAAGCGGAGCTGGGCGTGTGACTCAATGATAGAGCAATTGCCTCAGACCCTTGGGGCCCTGGGTTTGATCCACAGCATCATCCACAAGAAAACACAGGGAATTAGAAGCAACTGGACGACTAAGTACAGGAGCCTCCCACATCAAGGATGCTTAATGAGCTCTTACAAAGAAAGATGACTCAAAACCAAGCTGGAGTCCGATTCCATTTGTTAAAAAATGCAATGTATGGGTCAGTGTGGAAAGTGACGGTGCTGGGTGGGCACTGTTTATCCCCACCTGCTGACCATCAGTTGGCCTGCACGTGCAACAGATAATCTAACAGCAACAGTTATGCTGAGTGATTGCCCTGGTTAAGGGCTGAATTCTGCATGTGCTCTCATTTGACCTTGAAAATAGGGGCGAGCGCCGGGCGTTGGTGGTGCACGCCTTTAATCCCAGCACTCGGGAGGCAGAGACAGGCGGATCACTGTGAGTTCGAGACCAGCCTGGTCTACCGAGTGAGTTCCAGGACAGGCTCCAAAACAACACAGAGAAACCCTGTCTCGAAAAACCAAAAAAGAAAAAAAAGAAAAAAAAAAGAAAATAGGGGCGAGTTTCGCAGGAGGAGGAGTCGAGGCAGGTTCCAGGCACCCCTCCTGTCCACCTGTGGAGAGAGATCTTGCCCACACTACAAATGCCCAGCTCCTGGCTCTCTGAGTGTCAAAGGTCAGAAACTCCACCCTACCCCCATCTTGGTACCCTAAACAAGCTTCTATCACTCACTTCATTTTCACTCACCCCTAAGGCCTATGTAAGTAAAATAGAAGCTGTGGTGCCTAAAGGTACCACAGAAAACATAATTAGAGTCACCATGCAAGACAGAAACCAGAGATGGCCCTCCTGGCCACTTCAGCCCAACGATCCTCCTAAACCTTCTTCAAAGATGTTTGTTTTTGTTTTTGGTGGTCTCTCAACCCCTTCACACCAAAATGAATTTCCTTTCCATGGGTCAGACGTCTCCTTTCCTGTTCTGTTGTTGTGCCAATAAAACAGTATCAAAAACAAATGTCTTATCCCAGCACTCAAGACAAGGAGGCAATTGGATCTCTGTGAGTTCGAGGCCAGCCTGGTTTACATAGTAAGTCCAGAGCAGCCATGGCTACAAAGTGAGACCCTGTCTCAAAATCAAATGTCTTTGGAAGCAGGTGACCTTTGGGATAATAGCTTGTATCAGAGTTAGGCTATGGAATAAGATGAGGATTCTTCTATCAGGCATGTTTCCAGGAGGGATGTAGCTCTGTTGCTAGACTGCTTGCCTAGCAAACACAAAACCCTGGGTTTGTTCCGCAGCACCAAGTAAACTGGGTGTGGTAGCTCATACCTACAATCTCAGCCCTCAGGAGGTGCAGGCAGGACGAACAGAAGTCCAAGGCTACTACTTTGAGGCCAGTCCAGGACACACAGAACACTGTCATTTCCCACTCCCCTAACAAGAAAAGGTGACTCTTGAGCTCAAACTGGAAAAAAAAAAAAGTGACCTGGTGTGCTTGCCCTGATTTCCCTTGGCAATAGACTGTGACATGGAATTGTAAGCCTAATAAACCCTTAGCTCCCCAAGTTGATTTTTTTGAAGATTATTATTGTTTAATGCGTAGGAGTGTTTCACCTGCTGGTGTGTATTCGCACCACATGTGTGCCTGGTGTCCAGGGCTTCATCTTCCCCTGGAACTGGAGTTATAGATGGTTGTGAGCCACTACCACGTAGTTGCTGGAAGTAGAACCCGGGTCCTCTGTAAGAGCAATAGTGCTTTTAACCACTGGGCCATCTCTCTCACCCCAACCCCCTTCCCACGTTAATTTGGGTTAGTGCTTCATCATAGCAACAGAGATGCAAACAAAAATACCTGGGCTGGTGGCAAATGCCTGTAACCCTAACATTTAAGAGTCTGAGGTACCAGGAAATGGTGGATCACACCTCTAATGCCAGCACTCAGGAGGCAGAGGCAGGTAGGAAGATCACTGTGCTTTCAAGGCCAGTCTGGCATACAGAGTGAGTTCCAGGATGGCCAGGGCTACACAGAAAAACCCTGTCTCAAAAGGGGGGTGGAATTAAAATATTTTAATCCCCTCCACCTGGTAAAACTTTTATTTTCACAACACAAACACACACACAAACACACACACACACACACACACACAGTATTCCCTGAACAAGGTAATGGCCTGGAGTAGATGACCCCTTCCCCATTTTCTTAATTTCCTTTTACATATATTCTTTTAAAACTAGTTAATCTCAAAATACTCTTGAGGTTGGACTTCAGCCAATGGGAAAAAGACGAAGTTACCACCTGCATTAGAATAAAAACCAAGTGCACTTCCTGCCCTGGTAAGCTTGCCAGCGCAACCTTTTGTGCAAAAAGAAATTGCCCTGCTAAGTTATTTTTACTCTGTTCCTGTGCCTTTGTTCAACACCGAGAATATCTGTTTCCAATACCAGTCGGTGGTGGCACACGCCTTTAATCTCAGCACTGAGAGGCAAGTGTTTCTCAGTGAGTTTGAGGCTAGCCTGGTCTACAAAGTGAGTTCCAGGACAGCCAGGGCTGTTATACAGAGAAACCCTGAATCAAAAAAATCTGTTTCCACCACCATGCATGCTACACAGTACTCCTGCAGGGCCGAGCTCTTTTACTGCTAAATTCCTGAACAGACTGTGTTTCTAAACTCGAATCACAACATAGTCACCTAAGGAAAAGTTAAAGTTAAACCAAGGTCTGCTGAGCCCTGGGCCCACTGAACTATAAGTCCTCCCTCCAGAGAGGAAGCTGGGAGCGGGTGTCACTCCCACACTGCCCTTCCCCACCCAACCTTACTCCACCAGCTGTACTTATCCAAAACAGCCTCCAAGACAAGCATTTATTTTATCATTTTATTTTTGGAGCCAGGGTATCACTATGTTGCCATGGCTAGCATGGGACTCTGCATTTAGACCAGGCAGTCCAGCGCAAGCAAGGAGCAATACAAAGTCACTCTTCTGTACAGCTGTTGACGAGTGGCCTAGGCCTTGGGTCTGATATCTAGCACTGGCAAGAAAGTGGTTTTCAGTAAGACTGCCTGAGAAGCCAAGGTTAGGGACAGGCCAGCCAGTGGGTTGGTAATCACCAGACAGGCAAGGCCAGCCAGAGACCAAAGCTTGAGGACAAATGCAGGGAAGGGCTCTGGACTAAGATTTTCAGAGGAATGAGGGGAAAAGAACATCAGTGGAGGAGACAAACACTCTATCCCGTATACTGACAACACAGACTGACACTCACTCTGACTGGGCATTTATCCCTCCCCCTTTCCTGTCCCGTCCCTCTCTCCCTCTCTCCCTCTCTCCCTCTCTCCCTCCCTCCCTCTCTCCTTCCTTCCCTCCCTGTTTTTTTGAGACAGGGTCAATCTGTAGACCAGGCTGGCCTCTAACTCAGAGTTCCACCTGTCTCTACCTCCTAAGTGCTAGAATTAAAGGAGTGTGGAACCATTGCTCAGCTCTTTTTTTTTTTTTTAATTTATTGAAAATTGTATTTTTCAGGCTGATCAAGGCCAGTCTGGTCTACAAAGCTACACAGACAAACCCTGTCTCAAACAAACAAAAAAGAAGGAAGCAAACAAACCTGAATGAGCAGGAAATCACAAAACTTAATAATTCCTAGTAGTTACATTTCTATCCTCTGCCTAGTGTTCCATTTGATCTCAGAACAACCTTCAAGGATAGAGAATGAGTCTATCTAACAAGTGCAGAAACCTACCTAAACCAGTGGTTCTCAACCCGTGGGCAGAGACTCCTTTGGGCGTGGCATATCAGATACCCTACATATGATATTTCCATTATGATTCCTAACAGTAACAAAGTTACAGTTATGAAGTAGTGGTTGGGTGTCACCACGAGAGGAACTGTATTAAAGGGTGGAAGGGTGAGAACCACTGCACTAAAGAAAACATTTGCTGGGCATGAGGACACACACCTATGACCCCAACACTCAGTAGGCGGAGGCAGAAGACCTGTGAGTTCGAGGCCATCCTGGTTTACAAAGTGAGTTCCAGGACAGCCAGGGCTACACAGAGAAGCCCTGCCTCAAAGGCCCCCACCACATACAAAAAGGTGATGGCAATTGACAACATGGATGAGCAAAAATGGCTGCTGCAAGACAAGGCACCTTGGTTTCAATTCCAGTCCAGATACAAGCCACAGCTCGGGGGCTGAGACAATCTATTTAACCTCAGGAGACGTCAAGCTACAAGCCAAGGCCCAGGACATACTCAAGAACACCACCCTCTGAGACTTTTGAAAGAAATTAAAACAGAACATGAACACACAAAATGCCTTGATTCCAGTAAGTGGCAGTCACTGCAACTACTGTTACACAGTCACTTAAAAGTGCCTGAACTCCATGGCGGGCCAGTGGCGCAATGGATAACGCGTCTGACTACGGATCAGAAGATTCTAGGTTCGACTCCTGGCTGGCTCGACCTGAAAATTTTTTAGCGGGGCGTTGGTGGCACACGCCTTTAATCCCAGCACTCGGGAGGCAGAGGCAGAGGCAGGCGGATCTCTGTGAGTTCGATTCCAGCCTGGTCTACAGAGCGAGTTCCAGGGCAGCCTCCAAAGCCATAGAGAAACCCTGTCTCGAAAAACCAAAAAAAAAAAAAAAAAAAAAAAGAAAACCCAGGTTCCCTAGCACCCACGTGGTAGCTCACAAGTATTCCTTTATACTGTGTGTAGATGAGTCACTGTGATTGGCATAATAGCAAGCTAAATGGCCAGTAGCTAGGCAGGAGGCATAGGCAGGACTTGTGGACAGAGAGAACTCTGGGAAGAAGAAAGGCAGAGTCTATAACCAGACTCAGATGAAGCAGGATGGGCAAAATGAGCAAGAGGTAAGGAGCTCATGGAAAAATATGATGAAATATAATTTAAGTTATAGGAACTAGTTAGGAACAAGCCTAAGCTAAGGCTGAGCTCTCATAATTGATAAGAAGTCTCTGTGTGGTTATTTGGAAGCTGGCAGGCAGGACTAGAAAGACTCACAACACACAACCATCTAACTCCAGTTCACGTGATCCAGTGCCTTCTTCTGGCCTCTGCAGGCAGCAAGCATGCACATGGTATATAGACATACATGCAGGCAAAATTATCTATACACGTAAAATAATGTTTAAAAATATTGAGCCACTGCGACGGCTCAGCAGGTAAAGGTGCTTGCTGTCAAGCCTGGAAATCTGAGTTAGATCCCTGGGCACAGGAGAGAACCAACTCCCACAGGCTATCATCTGACTTCCACATGTGTGCTGTGGCACATACAAACCCGCCCACAGACACACACGAAATAAATTAATAAAAATAGATAAGTGTAATAAAAATTTTAATAAGACCATGAAATAGGAACTATTATCTTTCCACTTTTTAAATAATGAAACCGAGGTCTAGAGAGGTTAAATGACTTGACTTCCCATTCCCACTCCCAGCCCCCAAAACAACTACTAATCCATAATCTGCTTCTATAGATCTGCTTTCTGGAGATGTCAAGTGAATGGAATCAGATGGAAGATGCCTCACCAGTTAAGAGCTTTTACTGCTCTTGTAGAGGGCCTGAGTTTCATTCAAAGAATGGCTATCAGGCTGCTTACAACCAGAATTCCAGCTCCGGGAATGAAATAGGCACCCTCTTCTGGCTTCAACAGATACCTGAACTCATGTATACACACCCTCACACAGACACACATGCATATAGACAATTAAAAAATAAAATAAAATCTTTGGGTTTTTTTTTGGTTTGAAATTACAATATATATTTTCGTTTCCTGACACAGGGTCTCACTGTGTAGCCCTGGCTGGCCTGGAGCCCATCATGTAGACCACGCTGACCTAAAACTAACAGACCTGCCTGCCTCTGTCCCCCCAAAGACTTGCACCACCATGCCCAGCTTGAAATAAACTATATTAAAATAATAAAATGGGCTACAGTGGTAGTTCAATGGTTAAGAGTACTTGTAGAGGACCCAGGTTTGGTTCCTAGTACCTACCTGGCAGCTCATAACCATTTGCAACTCCAGCTGCAGGGGATTCAATCCCGTTTTCCAACTCTGCCAACACTAGGTACTCACATAAAATTAAATAGCTGGGTGTGGTAGCAATTGGGAGGCAGAGGCTGGTGGATCTCTGTGAGTTTGAGACCAGTCTGATCTAAATAGAGAGTCCCAGACTAGCAGTGATGATATAGAGAGACTCTACCAATAAACAAATACAAATAAATAAATAAAGTACCAGGCAGTGACGGCACATAGCCTTTAATCCCAGCACTGGGAGTCAGAGGCAGGTGGATCTCTGTGGATCTAGGCCAGTCTGGTCTACAGAATAGGTTCCAGCACAGCCAGGGCTACACAGAGAAACCTGTGTCAAAAAAAACAAAAGCAAAAAAAAAAAAAAAAGCAAAATAAAGGAGTAAATGGAATCAGAGCTGAGTGACAAAACCTTTAAGCTTAGCATTCAAGAGAGACTAACATGGGCTACATGGTGAACTCAAAGCCAGGTACAACTGTTTCAAACCCATAATAGGTAAAAAGTAGAAGTAAATAGCCAGGTATGATGGCACAAATCTATAATCCCAAAATTCAAGAGGCTGGGACAAGAGTATTGCTATGATCCAGGCAGTGGTAGAGCACGCTTTTAATCCCAGCACTCGGGAGGCAGAGACAGGCAGATCTCTGTGAATTCAAGGCCAGCTTGGTCTACTGAATGAGTTCCAGGACAGCCTCCAAAGCTATAGAGAAACCTGTCTCAAAAAAAAAAAAAAAAAAGAAAAAGAAAAAAACAAGAGTATTGCTATGAGTTTAAGGCCAGCTTGGGCTACATAGTAAGACCCTGTTTAGAAAACAAAACAGCTTTTTCTTTGGCAGTCAAGACCCTGCACATTTCCCCCGAAAAGGGGAGCATCTGTCTTCACGGCCTATCATGTGGTCCAGTGGGGTCCACATGCTCTCCACAGAACTCCACTTCCACTTGAGCCAAGCCAACCACATCCATAGATTTCTCAACAACTTCTTCCTGCTGGCAAAGTCCAGCAGTTGAGGGTGACAATGGAGCCTGTTTGAGAGTAATGCTGTCACCGATTATGTGATGAGGGACTTTGGTGACACACTTTGAAGGCAGCAGCTCAGGTGCCCTGTGGTGGTCTGAATAAGAATGGCCCCCAGAGGTTCATATATTCAAATGCTTGGTCACCAGGGAGTGGCATTGTTTGAAAGGTTTAGAAGGAGAGCTTTGAGGCTTTAAAAGCTCAATTTTTTTCTCTCTCTCTCCCTTCTTCTCTCTTTTTGCCTGTGGGCCAGGATATAGCTCTCAGCTCTAGTACTATGCATGCCACCATGCTCCCTCCATGATGATCACAGACTAAGACTCTGAAGTTGAAAGCAAGCCCCCATTTAGATGTTTTCTTTTATAAGGGTTGCTGTGGTCGTGGTGTCTCTTCACAGCGATAGCACAGGGACTAAGGCACCACCCTGGACACCATGAACCACAACAAACAGGCCAATAGGATTGCAAAGGAGGGACCATTGATGGATACAGGTACTTCCTACCAAGTTTGGTGACCTGAGTTTGATCTCTGAAACCCTTTACAAAATGGAAATGAAACATAAAAGGCAACCTCAGGAAACCCAGTGTGAGAAGCTTTTTTATTCCAGCCGTCATTGTCCTAGTTGTCAGCCAGGATGACTGCCATTCAGGACAACGTCCTGACTGCTTCACTCTATCACAGTGGCTCTTAAAGGCACAGCCAGCAAAAACAGACAGGTGAGGCTGACGTCACGAGGGATGCTCCAAGGGACTGTTCTGCTAGGGTTCACCATGCAGCCAGCCGCTCTCAGCAGGAGCCACGCGTAGATTCCTCACCGTGTTCACTGAGCAGAGCGCTGGGGAACAAAGGCATCCACACCTTCACAGCACCATGCCACCTCCCTGGTCACGGTGGAGCTGCGGTCCAGCCTGAAGTATGGGCCCAAGGCTGAAGGCCCATTCCTGCCCGGATGCTTTATCTTCCACACACAAAACCACCCAAAGTCACTTCAGTTGTCTCCAAACCAGGTCACAGAACAGCAGGAGACATTCCCTTGGCAAAAAAGGACACATTCTTGTCCTGTATCTTGTATTGGTAAGTGAGGCTTCTATCCCGCCGGGATGTGGGCTGCGGCTTCCTCCAGAGGATCCTGAGCTGCAGAGAGGGAGAAGAATGAAGGACAGGGCAGCCACCAAGCATCTGCTCCACTGTGAATCCACTGGCCTCCTGGTTACCTTCCACAGAGGATTCTGTGACAGCTCAGGCAAATGTGTCACAGGGGAACGGCCCAACTTCTACAATAAACACTACCAGCCAACAGAAAGGCAAGGTTTGCCTCTTTATGACAGAAGCTGTGCTTGCTTGCTTCTTGTAGAAAAGAAAAGGATGAAAGAGTCCTCCCAAGAAGATCAGTAGAGTATTTTCACGTGTTTCCCTTTGGTAAGTTTTCCCCTTCCCTCTGCTGTCCTCTCTCTGTTGTTGTTTTGAGACAACTGTGGCACGTAGAGCAGGCCAGCTCCATGGGGAGCTTACTGCTTCTGCTTCCAGAATGCTGGCATGTGTCATCATATCCCTCCCTCCTTACTTTTCCATTTTGTTTTTTAGTGCTAAGGTTTGATCTTGGGCCCTGTATATGCTAATTAGTGCTCTAACACTAAGTTATACATCACCAACCACTCTTTAAAAACCATTGTTTTAAGTGGTAAGTGTGTGTTGACCTGCATGTGTACCGGGTGAGTGCCTGGTGCCCATGGAGGCCAGAGTGGGGTGTTGGATCCCCTGGAGTTACAGGGGTTGAGTCCCTGTGGTGCTGGTAACTAAACCTGGCTCTCCGAGAGAGCAGTGAGTGCTCATAACTGCTGCGTCACTCTCCAGCCCTCAGTCTTTTTTCTAAGCATGGCTTTGTGCTTGTCAGCTAGGCTGACGGTGAAAATCAACACATTCGAATAGTCTGTACATTGTACAAGCCTCAGGAAAGACATGTACACTGTTGACGCTTTAACTGACTGAAATGCTTGGGAACAGGCTGGAGAGGGTCTACAGCTGTCCAGCCACAGCTGCCCTTTACCCAAGCTGTAACATAGGTGATCCAACATAGCATTCCTGGGCTCAAACTGCCAGCCGTGCCAAGATTCTCAACAACCCCTTGCGAGTGAAGAGTGGTCAGTGTGAAATTAATTGGAAGCTCCAGGAATGATCCTGACAAAGAAGTTAAAGGCACAAATCACAAGAATTCCATGAGATGGGCCGAAACCAGCTTCCCTCCAACATTCTGCCAGTGGTAACTGGGGGCAGAAGAAAGCTGGCCCATGAGCATGGTGTCACTTTGAGTTTTTTTCTTGTTTAAAAATCTTTTTTTTTTTTTTTTGGTTTTTCGAGACAGGGTTTCTCTGTGGCTTTGGAGGCTGTCTTGGAACTAGCTCTTGTAGACCAGGCTGGCCTCGAACTCACAGAGATTCACCTGCCTCTGCCTCCCGAGTGCTGGGATTAAAGGCATGCGCCACCAACGTCCAGCGTTTAAAAATCTTTTTAAAGACAGGGATTTACCATATAACTCTGGCTAGTGTGGAGCTCAATATGTAGACAAGGGTGGCCTCAAACTCACAGAGATCTCTCTGCTTCTGCTTTGGGGGAGGGGTGGGTCCTCACTATGTAGCCCTGGCTGGCCTGGGACTCACTATACAGACCAAATTGGCCTTGAATTCACAGAGATCCACCGGCCTCTGCCTAAGCACCACCATACCCAGAAATGTATTTTTAGTTGTGTGTGTGTGTGTGTGTGTGTATGTATTGTGTGTGTGTGTGTATGTATTGTGTGTGTGTGTGTATGTATTGTGTGTGTGTGTGTATATGTATTGTGTGTGTGTGTATGTATTGTGTGTGTGTGTATGTGTGTGTGTGTATGTATTGTGTGTGTGTGTGTATGTGTGTGTGTGTATGTATTGTGTGTGTATTGTGTGTGTGTATGTATTGTGTGTGTGTGTGTATGTATTGTGTGTGTATGTATTGTGTGTGTGTGTGTATTGTGTGTGTGTATGTGTGTGTGTGTATGTATTGTGTGTGTGTGTATGTATTGTGTGTGTGTATGTATTGTGTGTGTGTGTATTGTGTGTGTGTGTATATTGTGTGTGTGTGTATTGTGTGTGTGTGTATTGTGTGTGTGTATATTGTGTGTGTGTGTATTGTGTGTGTGTGTGTATGTATTGTGTGTGTGTATGTATTGTGTGTGTGTGTGTGTGTATGTATTGTGTGTGTGTGTATATTGTGTGTGTGTGTATTGTGTGTGTGTGTATTGTGTGTGTGTATATTGTGTGTGTGTGTATTGTGTGTGTGTGTGTATGTATTGTGTGTGTGTATGTATTGTGTGTGTGTGTGTGTGTGTGTATGTATTGTGTGTGTGTATTGTGTGTGTGTGTATATTGTGTGTGTGTGTATTGTGTGTGTGTGTATTGTGTGTGTGTATATTGTGTGTGTGTGTATGTATTGTGTGTGTGTATGTATTGTGTGTGTGTGTGTGTGTGTATGTATGTGTGTGTGTGTGTGTGTGTGTGTGTGTGTGTGTCTGTGTCCTCATGTGGGTATCCATGCTGAATGCGGTACCGGCAAAGGCCAGAAACAGCATTGTGTTGTCTGGAGCTGGAGTGAGCTGCGAGATATGTGTGCTAGGAACTGAATTCCAGTCTTTTGAGAGAACACAAAGTATTCTTGGCTCTTAAGCCCTGAGCCATTCCTCAAGCCCTGTTTAAAGTTTTATTTATTTATTAGCTTGTGCACATGTACCAAAGTACACAGAGAAGTCAGAGGACAACTTGTGGGAGACATTGTCTCCCTTCACCATGTGTGTACCCAAAGCCAACTCAAGTTGTCAGATTTGGCAGCGAGCATCTTTACCTGCTCAGTCATCTTGTCAGCCAGCAAATCTTTATTTTTAAAGGAACTATGTTGAAGAGAAAATGTAAATACTGCTATAATATAACAGAGGAATCCCCCCATTATGTGACAGTACAGCTGTAATCCGTTCCTGACAACGGTCTCCTTTTTAGAGCATCAGGAAAAGTGTTTCCTGCTCCAACAGTCTATACACCAGCTGTGACTCACACTCACAAAACTCAGGACCCCCAAGGTTTCCCTTCCACCCGAAGCAGCCCACGGCTCAGCCTGTGTACCTGTCCATGTACATCCTTGCAGAATCCAGTGGCCAGGCCCTCAGCTCGCAGGACCAGGTGGCTCTGATGACTAAGGCCATTCAGCAGGATGTCATTCTCCTCATCCTTAGCATCTTGGTCGTCATGCACAAGGGCTACCACATTTCCCTGCGTCAGAGACAAGATGGACACCTGCTCCTTACCAAACGGATACCAGGCTTTCAGAGTCTACACACCTAGTCTCTGCTAGGGATAGATCAGCAGTTAAGAGTATATAACTGACTGGGTGGTGGTGGCGCATGCTTTAATCCCAGCACTCTGGTGAATCTCTGTGAATTCAAGGCCAGCCTGGTCTACAGAGCTAGTTCCAGAACAGTCAATGCTACAACAACAACAAAAAAGTGTGTAACTACTGTTGCAGCACCCATGTCAGGCAGCTCACAACTGCATGTAACTCCAGTTTCAGGCTACCCAATGCTCTCTTCCAGCCTCTGAGGTCACCTATATTCACATGCACATACTTACACAGATGCATGCACAAATAAAAAGCAAAATAATCTTAATAATGAAGAGGCAGGTGTGAGGTCAGTGTGTGCACACATCTGTGTTTTCAAGACTTGGGAGGTGGAGGGAAGAATATTAGAAGTTCAAGGTTACCCCTGGCTACATAACAAATCCAGTCAGCTTGGCTGGAAGATCTTGCCCCAAAAGAAGTAAGCATGGCAGTGCACACTAAACCACGGCACTGCAGCATCAGGATGTGGAGATGGGAATCCCTGGAGCTTACTGGTCAGATGTCTCCAAGCCCCTTGCCCTTTCTTCCTTCCATGCTGACTCTCAACTCCCTCCCTCTTTTTCTCCCCCCTTCTCTCTCTGCATTACCCTGGATCCTGGTCCTGAGACTGTAGCCAAGAGTCCCTCGAACACAGCTTCCAGGCAGGACTATGCATAACTGACAACTCCACTAATTCTCTCTACCACTGTTCTGCACGAGTCTGGCCTCTCTAACAACATCCGTAAGTTCCTACAGGCTGTGTCATCATCCACTGAACAGTGGCCACTGTGGGCCAGGCACTGCACTGGATAGCAGCCTCACTTACTCAATGTCCTTTGTGTTTGTTTGATTTCGTTCTTTGAGACAAGGTCTTACTACACAGTTCTAGCTGGCCTGGAACTACATGGCCCAAGCTGGCCTCAAACCTGAAGTCTGAGGATCATAAACGCATGCTACCACGTGCAGCTTCTCACTCAACTGCTTTGTTTTCTCCTTAAAGTTCGTTATTAGCTGTGGGTATGTGTGTGAGAGGTGTTGCTCTCCTTTCACCTTTTTTGTTTTTTGTTTTTGGAGACAGGGTTTCTCTGTCTAACAGTCCTGGCTGTCCTGGAACTCGCTCTGTAGACCAGGCTGGTTTCAACTCATAGAGGTCCGCCTGCCTCTGCCTCCCGAGTGCTGGGATTAAAGGCGTGCGCCACCAACACCCAGCTACTTTGCCATTTTTAAAGTGACTTAGTGAGAGGTTCTAGGCTCAATCCCCAGAACTTTCACCTATGAGGAAAGAAAACCTAAAGGCGTTTATAGTTATAACTTTAACTGATCTCCAGAACTCACTAAGGAAGGTCCCACAGGGCACAAAGGCAAGGACCATAGCTCTGTCCCACAGTGCTCAGCAACCTTAAATTTGAGAGGCTTATTATTTAGCAATGCCAAGTAGGGTAAAGCAGAAGGGTGGAATAAAGAATCTCTGGGTCTGCCGAGGAGAGCTAAACGGGAAGCAAACAGACAGGAAAAGCACAACAGCCAAGTCTGGGTTCTCCGAGACCACGGTGGAGCACTGACAACAGCCCCTTGATACCTTCAATTCACAGCAAACCCGGGCTCTGCAGTACTGCATGAAGTCCAGCACAGCCACTGCTCCCAGGCCCAGGCTCAGCAGCACACTGAGGTTGTCCACCAGCAGCACTGGGAACTTCCACGGAGTCTCCCCGCTGTCCACGGGCTTCAGGGAGTCCCGTACAAACTGATACAGCGACTGCAGGTTCCCTGTACTTTCCTCCCTAGAGACACAGGAAAGAAGTCACCAGAGTTCACTCTGCCAATGTTTTATTTTATCGTGAGACTGCCTCATGAACCCCAGGCTGGCCTTGAACTCACTACGGAGCCAATCAAGGCGGACCTTGACTTTCCGATCTTCTTCCTTCCACACCCAAAGTGACACCTGGTTTTACTCAGTGCTGGGGGTCAAACACAGGGCTTCGTGCTCACTGAGCAACACTGTCAACCCTGCTCCAGCCCCAGCTCTTCTCTTCAGAGTGTCACTTTAGAACTGACCTGGAATGCACTATCCTATTGTCTCTGCCTCCCAAGTGCTAGGATTATGGGCATGTGCCACCATGCCCAGCTCTACAAGTGTTTATCTGGGACAAAGTGGCACCAAGGAAGACTAGAAGAGGCAAAGAACAAGAAAACACACGCACACACACACACACACACACACACTTCACTCCAATTCAAGTATTTTCTGAGGCCTACTGGGTACAAAGGTAAAACTTAGGGGCTACAAAAAATGAACAAGCCTTGAGGCCCTGAAGAGATGTCATAGAAGCCTGGCATGGTGATCCATGCCTATAGTCCCAACTACTATAGAAGCAGGATAATAGCAAGCTGGAGGCCAGCCTGGGGAAGGCAGTAAGACTGTCTCAAAAGGAGGAAATGAAATAAAAGAACCATGCAGCCTCTCAATCTAAGAGATACTGCACCTGGAGGAGTAAGTCAGACTGGGTAAGCCAAAGAGGCTTTCCAGGAGATCCTCAGTTGCTAGAGGAAGTTAAACAGCAGTTCGAGTGTCTTGGGGAGGGGTGGCAGATATGGGCTGCTGGTATACAGTGTTTCTGACACATAGGGACCAACCCACCTCCACCTTCCCCCAGGATGTTGCAAGCAGTCATTTCCTAGCAGTGGGAGGAGGAATGAAGCATAGTGCCCAGGGCAACCACCTCCCTGCTGGCACTGGGCTATCCTCACTCATAAGGAGAACAGCTCCCCACACACTGGGATCAGGTATAATGAGCCCCTGCTGTCAGGATAAAATCAAGGTCAGGGTGCTAGGGAAGATCTCTCTCTCTCCCTCTCTCTCTCTGTCTGTCTGTCTCTCCCTCTCCCTCTCTCTCTGTCTGTCTCTCTCCCTCTCCCTCTCCCTATCTGTCTTTCCCTCTCCCTCTCTCTGTCTGTCTCTCTCTCCCTCTCCCTCTCCCTGTCTGTCTCTCTCTCCCCCTCTCTCTGTCTGTCTCTCTCTCCCTCTCCCTCTCTCTGTCTGTCTCTCTCTCCCTCTCCCTCTCTGTCTGTCTGTCTCTCTCTCCCTCTGTCTGTCTGTCTGTCTGTCTCTCCCTCTCTCTCTGTCTGTCTCTCTCTCTCCCTCTGTCTGTCTCTCCCTCTCCCTCTCTCTCTGTCTGTCTGTCTCTCCCTCTCCCTCTCTCTCTGTCTGTCTCTCTCTCCCTCCCTCCCTCCCTCCCTCCCTCCCTCCCTCCCTCCCTCTCTGTCTCTCTCTCTCACACACACACACTGCACACGGGAAGGGTACATCAGAAAGAGTAGGACAGTGAGGAGAGATCTCTCAAGACGCCTTTGTGAAAGACAAAGAGCAGCAGTCAAACCAGGGCTGACGCATGTTCAGAAAAGTTGAGAGGCACCAGCACAGCCAGTCCAGACCTGTGATGAAAACCAAACGAGATGGGAGCAGCTTTCTGTCGCTGTTCTTAGAGTCACATCAGACATATTCAGGCTTGCTGGTCCTTTTTCTTGCCTCAACTACCCAATATGTTGCTACAAAGCAAAAATAGCTAGGGACAATTAGCTAATGAATAAATATGGCTATGTTCCAATACAATTGTATTTATAAAAACAGGTCCCTGACTTCACCCCATTTCCCCTCTGCTCTCCAGGGAGGGTGACATACTCCATGGGAGATCTAAAAAAAAAAAAAAAAAAAAACAGGTCCCTGGCCCATATCTCCTAATTTCTACATGAAGGCAAGAAAAAGCAAACGTGCTGCCCGAGGGAGAAGCAGCCCATCACTTTACTGTCACACTCACTGTGATGATGCCTGCTACAGCTCTGGGGACCACCACCTACCTACCATCGACTTCAAGAAAATGGCCACAGGCTATCTGACACATAGCAACACAGGGGAAGTGTCTGACCCTTGAAGCCACACCTGCCTTCCCCACACAAGCAGAAGGAACCACACACAGCCGCCCTCGTCTGACCCCACCTACCAGCTGTGCAGCCTGACCTGAGGAACTGCAGGGCCTGGGGCTCCTCCTGAGCACGGAAGAAGATGTCCACGGAGGACTTGAGGCCCTCCAGGAACACGAGCTGCCCTCGCTCCCGAGCTGCTGTCAGGCTGACACCCTAAATGTGACAAAAAGTGGAGTGAAGTGCTGAGTCCTCTGAGGAGTCTTTAAGAGAAACTATACACCAGCTAATACGAGGGAACAAGACGTACTGCAAACCCCACCAACCGTTCTGTCAGTTCCTGTTCTGCTGTCAGATGTTCACAACAAGGACTCATGCATCCCAGGCAGACCCTGACTTAAAATGCTGTAGACGATGACCTTGATTTTTTCTTTTCTTTTCTGAGACAGGGTTTGAGAAACCTGGAACTCCCTCTATAGAGCAGACTTTTATTGTTGTTTGTTTGTTTTGAGACAGAGTCTGGCTGTTCTGGAACTCACTTTGTAGACTAGACTGACCTTACATTTACAGAGCTCCTTCTGTCACTGCCTCCTGAGTACTGGGATTAGAGTCGTGTGCTACCACACCCTGCTAGGCAAGAAAACCTTAAATGGCCACAATCAGTAGGCTTTGATCCACTGCCATCTACAAGGACTAGGTCTAGTTCTATGTTTTCAGTAAAACATGCCCAGATTCTGCATTAACCCTTTACATGAGGGGTTCAGGGTCCCAAGATCTCCTTAGTCCCTCCTCTGCCGGGTTCTCCACAATTTACACAGAACATCCGTGCACGACACACGCTCCCACAGAGGGCTGAGACACTTACCAGTTTCTGTGCCACAATATTATAGTGGCTGAAGGACTGGACGAGTGCCACAAAGCAGACTTTACAATTAGCTAGAAAAGAAAATAAATTGACCTTTTAAATAAATCCTCTACTTACAACAAGACAATAATTCATTCCTCTGGAAACAGAAGGTGAGGTAGGTAGGTCTAGGCGGCACCCAGAGGCCTTGGGCCCTGATATGATTGAGCTCAATTTCTGTCTAAGATGCATCTCCCCCTTGTCTTAGAGCTTCTACTACAGTAAAGAGATACTATGGCCATGGCAACTCCTTTCTTTTGTTTTTTTGTTTTTTTTTGAGACAGGGTTTCTCTGTATTGCTTTGGAGGTTGTCCTGGAACTCGCTCTGGGATTAAAGGAGTGCGTCACCAACCCCCAGCTGACCATGGAAACTCTTACAAAGGAAAATATTTAATTGAGGTTGATGGGAAATGTCCTTCTGTATTCTGTGAATATATGTTTCTCCTATTGGTTAATGAATAAAACTGTTTTGGTCAATAGACAGGCAGGATGTAGCCAGGCAGGAAGTATAGGTAGGGCTACCAGACTAGGAAAAGCTGGGAAGAGGACAGAAAGTGAGTTGTCAGGGAGACGCCATGTAGCTGCTGAGGAAGAAAAGGGGACCAGACATCACTGGTAAGCCAAAACCATGTGGAGATACATAGATGAATAGAAATGAGTTAATAATAAAGAGAGAGCTAGCCAATAAGAAGCCTGAGCCACAGTTTATCATTAATATAAACCTCGGTATGTTTATTTGGGACTAAAAGGCTTTGGGACCGTGTGGGACAGAAGAATCCATCTATGGGCCTGGCTTACAATTTCAGTAGTTTAGCCTATTACTGAGCAGGAAGCAATGCAGCATGTAGACAGACATGGTGCTGAGAACTCCACATTTTGATCCCCAGGCAACATAAAGCATACTGTGGTCCACATTGGGCGTGGCTTGAGCATATATCAGACCTCAAAGCCCACAGTGACATACTTCCTCCAACAAGGTCACAGGCCAAGTCTATGTGGGCCACACCTATTCAAGCCACCACATCCTTCCTCTTTATTTTGAGACAGGGTCTCATGTAGCACATGCTGGTCTTTAACTCTCTATATAACCCAGGATGACCTTGAACTCCATTTTTTTCTTTTAATTTTTCTTTTTTCTTTTAACTAATTTTATTTTATGTGCATTGGTGTGAGGATGCCAGATCCCCTGGGACTGGAGTTACAGACAGCTGTGAGCTGCTATGTAGGTGCTGGGAACTGAACCCGGGTCCTCTGCAAGGGCAGCTGGTGCTCCTTTTTTTTTTTTTTTTAAGATTTATTTATTTATTATTATGTATACAGTGTTCTGTCTGCATGTATGCCTGCAGAGGGCCAGAAGAGGGCACTAGAACTCATTATAGATTGAGTCACTATGTGGTTGCTGGGAATTGAACTCAGGAATTCTGGAAGAGCATCCAGCCAGTGCTCTTAACCACTGAGCCATCTCTCCAGCCCTTTTAATTTTTCAAGACAGGGTCTCACTACGTAGCTCTGGCTGTCCTGGAACTTGCTCTGTAGACCAGGCTGGCCCCAAACTCAAAGAGATCCGACTGCCTCTGCCTCCCAAGTGCTGGGATTAAAGGAGTGAGCCACCACTAGCCCTATTTATTTTTTTAATATTATGTATATAGATGTTTGACTCAAACCTATGTTTGTGCACCAAGTGTATGTCTGGTGCCCTTATATACCAGAAGAGGATGTCAGATCCCCTGGAACTGAAGTTACATATTTGTAAGTCACTAAGTGGGTGCTGGGAGTCAAACCTGGGTCCTCTGTAATATCAGCCAGTACTTTTAACTACTGAGCCATTTCTCCAGCCCCTGACCTTGAACTCTTGATCCTCCAGCCTCTAACTCCTGAGTGCTGAGATTACTAGCATGAGCTACCATACTTGGTTTATATAGTGCTGGGAATTCAACCCCAGGCTTCACATATATGAAGCAAACACTCTATCTACAAACTGAGCAGCAACCCCAAGTCCCAAAGATGCATTAAAAAAATTAGTATTGTGCCAGGTAGTGGTGGCACATGTCTTTAACCCCAGCACTTCGGAGGCAGAAGCAGGCAGATCTCAGTGAGTTCGAAGCCAGCCTGGTCTACAAAGTGAATTCTAGGACTTTTACAAAGAGAAACCCTTTCTCAAAAAACAAAAAAAGCCAGGTGTTGTTGGCGCACGCCTTGATCCCAGCACTCAGGAGGCAGAGACAGGCTGACCTCTGTGAGTTTGAGACTAGCCTGGTCTACAAGAGCTAGTTCCAGGACAGCCTCCAAAGCGACAGAGAAACCCTGTCTTAAAAACAAAAACAAAAACAAACAAACAAACAAAAAAGAAAACAACCCCCCCAAATTATTATTGTATCTAGAAATCAGAGGACAAGCCTGGCAGTGGTGGAGCACATCTTTAATCCCAACACTTGGGAGGTAGAGATAGGTGGATCTCTGTGAGTTCAAGACCAGTCTAATCTAGAGAGTTAGTTACAGGACAGCTAGGGCTGTTACACAGAGAAATCCTGTCTGGAAAAAAAAAAGTCAGAGGACAACTGTGGAGTCAGTTCTCTCCTGACACCTTCACACAGGTTCCAAACATGGAACTCAGGGTGGCACACTTGTGTGACAAGTACTTTTACCTGCTGAACCTCCTCACCAAGCCAAAGTGTACTTTTTCCCTTTTGTTTTCTAGGACTATTGATTAAACCCAGTTCTACCACTAAATTGCATCTCCATAGGTTGTTTGGTTATTACATCTATCTGTCTGTCTGTCTGTCTGTCTATCTATCTATCTAATCTATCTGGGGGGAAGGAGGGCTGTACACTTATATCTATCTATCTATCTATCTATCTATCTATCTATCTATCTATCTATCTAATCTATCTGGGGGAGGAGGGCTGTACACTTATACCGGGTATGAATATGGAAGACAGAGGACAATGTGAAGGAATTAGTTCTACCCTCACACCATGTGGGTCCTAGGGATTGAACTCAGTAGGTCATCAGGCCGTGCTTTTTACCAACTGAGCTACCACCCTGGTCCCTAAATACTGTGTGTGTGTGTGTGTGTGTGTGTGTGTGTGTGTGTGTGTGTGTGTGTGTTTCAGAATGGGCTTCAAAGCCACAGAGAAACCTTGTCTCAAAAAACAAAAACCAAAAACCACAAAACTGTAAGTTAGTGCTGGGGATGGGGCTAGGTTAACAAAGTGCTTGCCTAGTACTCACGGCACAGAGTAGGATCCCCAGCACTGAATAAAAACAGACATGGTGGCACACATCCGTAATTCTAGGACTTTCGAGGTGGAGAAAGGAGGATCTGAAATTCTGGGTCATCCTCAGCCTCATAGCAAGTTCAAAACTAGCTTGGGCTACAGGAAACTCGATTTCACAATAATACCACCACAAAAAAAAATCAGGGAAAGAGGCTTTTCTTTTTTCTTTCTTTCTTTTTTTTTTTTTTTTTTTTGGTTTTTTGAGACAGAGTTCCTCTGCGGCTTTGGAGGCTGTCCTGGAACTCGCTCTGTAGACCAGGCTGGTAGAGCGAGGTGGACATGCAGGAAAGGCCGGCACACAGCATCCTCTCGGGCACGGACCACGAGGCCAGGAGCCCGGGGAGACTTTCTAATCTATTTCCAAATGTAAACAGCAGGGCCATGTTCTTCTGGAAGCAGCTATTGCAATGGCAAAATGTTAACAGAGTTAGGAGGTCTAAGACATAAACACACAACGACCAAGAAACAGCTGAGCCGGGAGGCCACACGAGGACTCCAGGGAGGTGGGGGCTGCCAGAGGGAAGGCAAGGTGGCGAAGACGGGAGGTAGAATGGAGATCTGGTGGGCACACGCCTTTCCTTGGCAGGGTCTAATGATGCCCCAATAGCCTGTTGCCTAGCAGAACAGTTTACTGACTACCCAAACACCAAGGCCAAGACTAGTCAATGCTCTTCCCATTGTTTCCCTGGGGTTTTTCTTCTCCACTTTCTCAGCTGTTCTTGTGTTTGTTTGCTTGCTTGTTTGTTTGAGACAGATGTCTCTGTGTAGCCCTGGCTGTTCTGCCTCCCAAGTGCTGGTTTTAAAGGCACGTGCCACCATGTTCAGCGAAACAATTACTGATTTCTGTTTTAATTTGAAGTTACAGATGGTTATGAGCCACCATGTAGGTAATGGGAATTGAACGCAGGTCCTGAGAGAGCAGCCAATGCTCTTAAGCTCTGAGCCATCTCTCCAGACGTGAGTTTCCTGTTTTATAGCGTCAGGGAGCTGATACCTTTGAGGTAGAAGGAGAGGAAGTGATGCACGAGAAAGCTGCCATCTGTCTTGGCCTCACAGAGCAGAGTCAGTTTCCCCTGCAAGGTAAGAAGATAAGGTCCATTAGACCCACTGTGAAGATGTAAGCCCCAACAGAAAATCAAGTCAATTACGTGCATTTTTTTTTTTTTTTTTTTTTTGGTTTTTCGAGACAGGGTTTCTCTGTGGCTTTGGAGGCTGTCCTGGAACTCACTTGGTAGACCAGGCTGGCCTCGAACTCACAGAGATCCACCTGCCTCTGCCTCCCGAGTGCTGGGATTAAAGGCGTGCGCCACCACCGCCCGGCTCCAATGACGTGCATTTGTGTATACCCACAGCTATTTGCTAATGACTATGTGTTAATAACTAAATTAGCCCAAAGATGAATGAACGTCGGGGTGGAGGAGATGGCTGGGGGGGGGGGTGTAAAATCACTCACTGTGCAATAGTGAGGACCTGAGTGTGAACCCCCCAGAACTGGAGTAAAGTCAGAGCCAGTAGTGAACATCTGCAAGCTCTGTGCTTCTGCAGAGAGACAGGAGGCAAAGACCGAGAACCTCTAGAAGTCTTGTGTCAGCTAGTGTATGCAGTGAACGACCATCCCAAAACAAGAGGACTGACCACACACCCACACCAGGGCATGTGTGCAACCGTATTCACAGAAGTGGGAACACACACATACACACAGAGATTAGAAACTGAAGAAATACCAGGGCTGGAGAGATGATTTACAAGTTATAGGAATATACTGCTCTGGCAGGGCCACGTTTGGTTCCTCATACCGACATCAGGTGGCTCACAACTGCCTATAACTCTAGCTCCAGAGAGATCTAAGGATACCTCTAGCCTCCACAGACACCTGCGCTCATATGCACAGACATACATGAGTATACATAATTAAAAATAATAAATACAAGATGCTAAAAAATAAGAAAGTCAATTATTAGCTGGGCAGTGATGGTGCACACCTTTAATCCCAGTGCTCAGAAGGCAGAGGCAGGCAGATATATATCTGAGTCCAAAACCAGCCAAGTGAGTTCCAGGACATCCATGGATACACAGAGAAACACTGTCTCAAAAAGGAAAAATAAAGTCTCTGCAGTTTCTAGCCACCTGATCCAGCCATTTTCACTTCTGTAAGTAACAACATCTGGATCAAAGGGTGTCATCACACATCACCTCAATGCTGTGTCAACTTTAGGCAACCGTGCCTAATGACTCTGGGTTTCGCCCCCCACACACACATACATTACACACACCTAAAATGCAAATCACGCTGCCGGGCCTTAAAGTACCTTCCTCACCCTCTGCAGTCATTTCCTGTTGTCGCTGTGAACCTGGGAAGTGCCCTAGCAACTCGCAAAACTGGAGGCTTGGACAGACAAGAACTGTTGCACAACTAAAATCCACACGGATCTATTCAAACTTACAATTTGCCTGGCACCATAGGGGTCATAAAAGGCTTTCCACACGTGGTATGTTCACTGCAAATTATAGAACAAGACAGCTATACTCCTGGGAGAAGAAACCTCTACGTGAAAATGTGGAGGAAAACAGAACAGTCGGGCTATGCTGAATACTTTGCGCAACCACATGTTGAACTAACAGTTCTTAGACACCGTCAGAGCGGGGATGTGGGGAAGCTGTGTTCCGTGCAACCTATCGAATGTTCCAGGGGTGGAGGAAGAGGGGCAGGTAAGAGGCTCCTCTGGAGCCTGCTCTGCAACTATCTCTGGGCGCCAGGGTGGCTCGGAGTACACGCTCCCAGGGGCTGGAAACCGTGTACAGGGACGCTAAGCACACGCCAGCCGGGGCAGAAGCCCATTTTTCGCCGTCCCGAACATCCAACCTCGCCCCGGCGAGCCCTCTCCAGACTACAACTCCCAGGTGCCCGGGGTTACGGCAGACGCGCCAGCCCCACCGCGCGGCATTCCGGATGCTATCTTCCCGCATGCTCCCGGAACACGCCCCCTTCCGGGCCCCCGACATCTTACCTGCTCCGTCCTGTCTGGGGTGGTGCTGAGAAGGTTATTGAGTTCCGGGAACATTGTGAACTGGGATGAGAAATTAGGGTTCTAAAAAGAGACAGCGAAGGCCGAAGAACAACACCCGCGAGAGCTTGCTCGAACGTGAGAAAGCGCGCGTGCGTGATCTCACGCCCTGCCCGCGTCAGCCAATCAGGCTTGGGCCCGTGACGCTGCTGCGCAAGCGCATGAGCACGTGTGCGGTGATGCTGAGCAGTAGAGCGATCCCTCGTTCAGCAGCGGGCTGTGTGCTACTGGGGTCAGTAGTTTGGGGTCCTCATGTGACCAGCACTCCCTCAGGGCTTAGGGCGAGCGATCAAGCAAGCGAGCTTCCTCTTTTCTTTGGGCAGGTTCCCTTCGCGGGTCCGGCTCTTGGTCTCTTCATGGCTGTTAGGTTTCCACGTGTGTTGCACGCAAACTTGGGCTTGTCCATGGAACATATAAGGAAGATGCTGGCGGGATCATCGCAGAAAGCGAAAAGCAAAACTTACTAGCACAGAGCTACATCCTGAGAAGTTCTCTGAATAAAAGCAAAACACGGGGGGCTAAAGAGATGCCTCGGGTATTAAAAACTCTTGCTGCTCTTCCGGAGGGTTGGACTTTGGTTCTCAGCACCCGACTACTCATTTTTTGTTTGTTTGTTTGTTTGTTTGGAGGATAGGGTTTCTCTGTGGCTTTGGAGGCTGTCCTGGAACTCGCTCTAGTAGACCAGGCTGGTCTCGAATTCACAGAGATCCTCCTGCCTCTGCCTCCTGAGTGCAGGGATTAAAGGTGTGAGCGCCACCAAATCCCGGCTGGATTACTCAGTTTCTAACTCCCGCTCCCCAGGGGACCGGACACCCTCTTCCGGCCTGTGCAGCGCCTGCACACACACACACACACACACACACACACACACACACACACACACACACACACACACACACACACACACAAGCGCGCTCACGTGCACACAGCATACATGAACATTTTCAGAGGGCTCAGTAGATTTTAGAGGACTGGTTGGATTCTCACTATCCACATGGCAGCTCATAACCCTCTGTAACTCCAGTCCCAGGGAATCTGATACCTCTTCTGGCCTCCAAGGAAATCAGGCATCAAAATGGTGAATGCAGTCAAAACATTCATAGACATAGTTTTATTTTAAGTGAGTGAGGCCCTTCCAAGGCCTTCTTAAAAACAAAACAAACAAACAAAAAAACAAAAACGGAGGGTTAGAGATATAGGTCAGAGAAAGAGCACTTGCCTAACATGTGGAAAACAACACAAAAAACTGGTGCTGACAGCTGTGACCAGCACTCAACAAGCAGAGGCGGGTGGATCTCTGAGTTCGAGGCCAGCCTGGTCTACAGAGCGAGTTCCAGAACAGCCAGGGCTACTGTGAAACACTGTCTCAAAAACACCAAACAAAAAGAATAAAAATAATGAAATACATACACACCTACACACATGCAGCAACAAGGAAAGAGGTCCCGAGTGTGAAAGCAGGGGAGGCACGCGCAGGGCTTAACGGGAGGAGAGGGATGATGTAACTACTGTAACCTCAAAAGGAATACTAGAAAAGAATAATAATTATAAAAACTGTCTCACCGGGCGGTGGCGGCCCATGCCTTTAATCCCAGCACTCGGGGGGAAGGGGCAGGTGGATCTCTGTGTGTTTGAGACCAGCCTGGTCTACAGAGTGAGTTCCAGGACAGCCTCCAAAGCTACAGAGAAACCCTGCCTCGAGAAAAAACAAAACAAAACAAAGCAAAAAACCAACAACAACAACAACAAAAAACGTCTGTTCTCTGTAGGTACTGTACAGAAAAGCAGAAGATAAAGGATTTTAAAGTAGTTTTCATGGCCTCAGTAAGAAATTGGGGTTGGGATTGGAGAGATGGCTCAGCAGTTAAGAGCACTGACTGCTCTTCCAAAGGATCCCAGGTTCAATTCCCTGCACCCACATGACAGCTCCCAGCAGTCATGCACATGGTGAAAAGATGTGCATATAAATAAGCAAAGCACCACACATACAATATTTTTCCCTTGAGACAGTCTATGTAGCACTGTCCTGAAACTTGCTAGTAAACCAGGCTGGCCTCCAACTCTGCCTGCCTCTGCCTCCTATGTGCTGGAATTAAAGGCTTGCGCCACTATGCCTGGGGCAACACATTTTATCAAAGAAAGAGTGGTTGGAATATACCCTGCATGCCCATCCTCGGGGTCTTTGCAATGAAGTTTATCATTTTGGGATAATTCTTTAAAAAATAATTTATTTTTATTTTATTTGCATGTGCATCTGTGTGAGTGTGTCAGATCTTAGAGGTATAGACAGTTGTTAGCTGTCATGTGAACCCGGGTCCTCTTTCAGAACAGTCAGTGCTCTTAACCACTGATCCCCCTCTGCAGCCCTAGGGGTGATCTTTGCCAAATACTCAGTTGATTTTAAGTCGCTCCTTCAGGTCTTTGGTTCGGATGTCACTGTATCTTGGAAGCCCTCCCTGAGGGACCTGCTTAAATCATGTAATTTTGTTCTAACCTCATAAGCCCCTCAGATCATGAAAGAAAAATGAATTCCCCAAAGTCAGACTTACCTGTGTTGCCTTTGTGGAAATAGCTTGCCTAGGGCCTGATACTAAGGGGAGAGAGAGTTAATAGTTGGAAAAGGTTATGTGGAGCTTAAGTGAACGCTTTTTGTTTGTTTTTCATTATATTAAGTTCAGGTGGGATGTAAATGAAGCAGTGTGTGTGTTTTTTATAAACCCAAAGCTAAACACAGCTGTGTGTAAAAGGGTCAGTAATTGACTTGGATATTTTTGCAAAAACTACAAGATTAAGATAAGGAACAAAGCCAGGTGGTGGTGGCGCACGCCTTTAATCCCAGCACTCAAGAGGCAAAGGCAGGCGGATCTCTGTGAGTTCCTGGTCTACATAATGAGTTCCACTCTAGCCAAAGCTACACTGCACGGCCCTGTCTCCAAAAGCCAAGAAATAAACAAACAAACAAAAAACCAAGCAAGGCTGGAGAGGTGGCACATTGGTTCCAAGAGAGTACTGCTCTTGCGGAGGACTGGGCTTCAGCTCCCGGAACCCACACTGGGTGGCTCACAGCTGCCAGTAACTCCAGCCGTGGTTCCAACACTTCCCGTCTCAGTGGGCACTGACACTCGTGCACATACCCATGGTTAAGGATAGAAAATAAGACCTTTAAAAACAATAGAAAAAGAACAAAACAAACAAAAACCTGGTAGACTAATCTGATAACTTTGTGCTCAACAGAACAGAGACCTAGCTGTGAGTACCAGGTCTACTTTTTTTTTTTTTTTGGTTTTTTTTGAGACAGGGTTTCTTCTGTGGCTTTGGAGGCTGTCCTGGAACTAGCTCTTGTAGACCAGGCTGGCCTCGAACTCACAGAGATCCGCCTGCCTACCAGGTCAACTTTTGATTACCATATTCCATACTCTACCATAAATAGTATTAATAGTATTCTTTCTTTTTTGTTTTTATTTTCCCCTCAAGACAGGGTTTCTTTGTGTAACAGCTCTGACTGTCCTGGAACTAGATCTGCTGACTAGGCTCCCCTGTAATTCACAGAGATCCGCCTGCCTCTGCCTCCCACGTGCTGAGATTAAAGGTGTGGCCACCACTGCCTGTAAGGATTCAGGCATTAAGCTGGCCTGCCTCTGTCACCTGGCAGAATGCACTCAGGCAGTACCCTGGTCGGCCCAGGGGTCCATGAAAGACTGACCACCACACCCACACTCCCTCCCTCTCCCCCTCCCTCCCTCCCTCCCCTCCCCCTCCCTCCCTCCCTCCCTCCCTCCCTCCCTCCCTCCCTCTCTCTCTCTCTCTGTCTCTCTCTCTGTCTCTCTCTCTCTCTCTCTCTCTCTCTCTTTCTCACTCTGTTTCCCGCTGTTCCCCGGAGCAGTCACGATTTTTTCCTGTCTCCCTCTTCTCTTCTGTCCTCTCTCTGTCTCTGTGTCTCTTTACCTCTTTTCTCTTTCCTTCCCTCCTTACCCTTTCTAATAAAACTTCTCACTAAGCCTTGTCCCCTGGCTCAGTCAGACTCAGCTGCCATGGGATCTGCCAAGGTTCCCCTCAAGCTTTAACAGAACACTGCCTGGCTTCACTAATAGTATTCTTCTGTTTCCTTTTTTTTTCATATTGCCAGTAATATGCAGAAATGCAATTGCCTTTATTTTTGTTTTTGAGAGAGTCTCACCATGTAGCCCTGGCTTGCCTGGAAGTCTTTATGTAAGCTAGACCAGATTTGAACTTACAGAGATTTGCCTGCCTCTTCCTCCCTGGTGCAGGGATTAAATGAATTTGATTCTAGGCCTGGCACAATTGTCATTATTATTATCAAGGGGGGTAAGCGTGCCACTGTGTGCATGTGAAGGTCAGAGGTCAGTTTGGTGGAGTCTGTTCTCTTCTACCTTTCTGTGGGTTTGAGGAATTAAACTCAGCTCACCAGCCTTTCATAGTGAATATCTCTCCAGCTCTGTTTTGCTTTTTGGGTATGTGCTGCTAGAGAATGTTTCGTATGTGCTAATTAAGTACATTCCCAGTTACAATCTATTTTTGTATACTGACTTACCTTCATATCTCATTAATTCCCATAGCTTTTAAAAGATCCCCCTGAATTTTCTGAGCAATGACCATGCTGTCAGTGAGTAGAATAGTTTTGTCCTTCCTTTCTCACCTAGGCACTATGTACTCTTGCTTAAGTACAAGGCAGGAAATGGTGCAAATGCACCCATTTTGTCTTGTTCTCATTTTGAAGGAAAGCTGTTGGCCATGAAATAGGATGTTAGTTTTGGGGTTTTTCGTGGCTGTAATCTCCCCCCTGTAATTAGGGTGAAAACTCCCCCTTTTCCCAGTTCTGCAGCTGTGGTCTTTATGCTTCTTTGCCTGGCCTCGGGGAGCATATGCTGAACATTTGAGAGTGACCCCGTGTCTTACTGTCTTCCCTGGTATGCTGTCCTACGGACTCTAGGTGTCTTCCTCTCCCTCCTTAGCGCCAGTCTTTCCCACTCAGAGACTATTGGGGGGGTGGAGAGGTGGCTCACCAATTAAGACTCTTGTTGTTTTCCAAGGACATGAGTTCAGTTCCTGACACTCACCCTAGACGTCTCACAACTGTGTGTAACTCCACC